CAACGGTGTGAGGCACGGGCTGTGATCACAGAAACTGCATTGCGGGAGTGCCCAGCCATATCCCTGCCTGGGGCTCAGCCTCTACTCTAAGCATTAGCTTGGAGCCACCAAACACTATGGACATACCGCAGGCTCACCTGCAAGATGTCCTGGCCATAAAGGTCTCTGTTGCCAATTCTCAGGGGTTGTGTGAGTGCATCCCCCAGCCCTTGTGCAAGAGGTAGCATCGATTCTGCACAGAGCCTTGAGGAAGAGCACAAGAGAGAACCCAGTTCCCTTCAGGCTGCTGTGCTGGGGTGACAGGAGGAGTCCCCAGAGGCCACCATGCACTTTTAACATTTGTGAAAATAGATTGAGGGGTGAAAATAGTAGTGTGTAAGCAATTATAGCTGGCTAATTTCTTATATTAGGAGTGAGTTTCTATATCTGAGTAATTGGTAATGACAGACATAGAGAAGGCTGAGGTACTCAACAACTTCTTTGCCTCTGTCTTCAGTGACAGACAGGCTTTCCAAATTTTTGTTTCCTTGAACCTGTAGATGGAGGCTGGGGGAGCACCCACTGTAAGTGAAGAGCAGGTTTGAGACCACCCATTAGTGATAATTCAAACTGGCAGAGATGAAATTGCTGAGAGAAGCCTGAGGGCTATCAAAAGGAACTTGAGGTGACTAGGGCAGTTTCTGGATGGAGTAGGTGCACAGGTGGTGTTTTCCTCTATCCCTTCAGTGGTGGAGAGGGATATTGAGCAGACCTGGAAGACCCAGCAGATTAATACATAGCTGAGAGGCTGGTGCTGTCGCAGAATTTTTTTGTTTTATTTTTTTTTATCACCGGGAGGTTTACTCAGCACCTGGTCTGATGGCTGCTGATGGGTCCCACCTGTCCCAAAGGGGGAAACAGACTCTAGCCCAGGAGCTGGTGGGGCTCATTGGGAGGGCTTTAAACTAGGTATGAAGGGGGAAGGAGGGGAAATAAGACTAGATAGAGTTGAGCCTGGGAGAGCAGTCCCAGGTTTGGGGGTGAGAGCAATGGTGTGACTCAAGAGCATCTACACCAATGCATGCAGCATGCACTACAAACAGGAGGAGCTGGAAGCCATTGTGCAGCGGGCAAACTATGACCTAGCCACCATCACTGAAACATGGTGGTGAAACATGACTGGAGTGCTGCAATGGACAGCTACAAGCTCTTCAGATGGTACAGAAAGCTAAGAAGGGGCGTTGTGGCTCTCTATCTTAGAGAGTGTTTTGGTTCTGTTGAGATTAGGTTTGGGAATTAAAAAGTAGAGTCCTTGTGGATAAGGATCAGGAGGTTGGCCAACAAGGCAGATCTGTTGGACAGATCAAGTGGGGATCTGTTATAGACCACCAAACCAGGATGAAGAGACGAATGAGGCATTCTATAAGCAGCTGGCAGAAGTCGCTCAATTGCCAGTGCTTGTCCTTATGGGCAACTTTAACCTCCCAGACGCATGCTGGAAATTCAATACAGCCCTGAGGAAGCAGTCTAGAAGGTTTCTGGAGTGCATGGAAGCTTCCTGGTTCAGCTGGCCAGTGAGCCTACCAGACAGGGTGCCTCGCTAGACCTGCTGTTCATGAACAGAGAAGGACTGGTGGGAGATATGGTGGTAGGGAGCTGTATTGGGCAGAGTAACCATGACATGGTAGAGTTCTCCATTCTTGGTGAAGTCAGGAGGGTTGTGAGTAAAACTGCTACCTTGGACTTCTGAAGGGCTGACTTTGAACTGTTCAGGACACTGGTAGGGAGGGTCCCTTGGGAGTCAGCCCTGAAGGGCAGAGGGGTCGAGGGAGGCTGGACACTTCTCAAGAAGGAAGTCTTAAAGGCGCAGGAGCAGGCTGTCCCCATGTGCCATAAGGTGAGATGGCGAAGAAGACGACCAGAGTGGCTGAACAGGGAACTTTTGCTGTTTATTTGGGAGAAAGAGTTTATGACCAGTGGGAGAAGGGGCAGGCAACTCAGAGAGATTACAAGGAAGTTGCCAGAATATGAAGAAAAAAAAATCAAGAACGCCAAAGCCCAGCACAAGCTCAGCTTGGCCACTATGGTCAAGGATAGAAAAAAATGTTTTTATAAGTATATTAATGGAAAGAAGAGGGCCAAGGAGAATCTCCATTCTTTATGGGACACAGAGGGGAACATGACTACAGAGGATAAGGAAAAAAAAAAAAAAAAAAAAAAAAAGTTGAGGTTCTTAACACTTTCTTTGCATCTGTCTTTAATAGCCAGACCAGTTGTCCTCAGGGTACTGAGGATAAGGGCTGAGGTCACTGGGCCTGTTCAGCCTGGAAAAGAGGAGGCTGAGGGGGGACCTCATCACAGTCTACAACTTCCTCATGAGGGGGAGTGGAGAGGCAGGTGACCTTTTCTCTGTAAACACCAGTGACAGGACCCATGGGAACGGTGTTAAGCTGAGGCAGGGGAAGTTTAGGCTGGACATTAGGAAGAGGTTCTTCACCGAGAGGGTGCTTGCACACTGGAACAGGCTCCCTAGTGAAGTAGTCACTGCACCAAGCCTCTCTGAATTTAAGAAGGGATTGGACTGTGCACTTAGTCACATGGTCTAAACTTTTGGGCAGACCTGTGTGGTGCCAGGAGTTGGGAAAGATGAGATGTGGTGCTTAGGGACATGGTTTAGTGGGTAACATTGTTAGTAGGGTGATTGTTGGACCAGATGATCTCGGAGGTCTTTTCCAACCTTAAAGATTCTATGATTCTATGATCCTTATGGGTCCCTTCCAATTCTAGATATTCTATGATTCTATGAATCTGTGAACGTGAGCCGGCAGTGTGCCCAGGTGTCCAAGGAAGCCAACAGCATCCTGGTTTGTATCAGGAACAGTGTAGGCAGCAGGACCAAGGAGGTGATTGTCTCCCTGTACTCTGCTCTGGTGAGGTCACATCTCGAGTACTACGTACATCTTTGGGCCCCTGAGTACAAGAAGGACATCAAGGCCCTGGAACATGTCCAGAGAAGGGCTACAAAGCTGTTGAAGGGTCTGGAGCACAAGACCTATGAGGAGCGGCTGAGGGAACTTGGTTTGTTTAGTCTGGAGAACAGGAGGCTCAGGGGAGGCCTTATTGGTCTCAATAACTACCTGAAAGGAAGATGTGGGGAGCTGGGGGTTGGCCTCTTCTCATGGATAACTAGTGAGAACACAAGCGTGAATGGCCTCAGGTTACACCAGGGGAGGTTCAGGTTGGAAATTAGGAGACAGCACTTCTCAGGAAAAGTATTCAGGCATTGGAACAGGTTGCCCAGGGAGGTTGCGGATTCATTGTCCTTGGGGGGGGTTAAGGAATGTTTGTACCTGGTGCTTAGGGACATGGTTTACTGGGTGATATTGGTGGTAGGGGTATGGTTGGACCAGATGATCTTGGAGTTCTTTTCCAACCTTTAAATTCTATTATACTATGATTTATAAATATCTTATTTATGTATAGTGTGACCACTTCTGCAGCAGGGGCTGCTCAGGAGAACCATTGGAAACTTCACCCATAAAAAAATTAGATTAGATAGAGCAAGAGCATCTTCAGGAAATTTCAAGAACTGTCCAAAATTCGCATCAAGAGGGATCCTGTTGATCAGTTAAATACTTGATATTGAAGATTCATTCAGTCACCTTGTCTGTGATCCAGATCCTGTATTGTCACACCAATAGCGCATATTGCACCTTCATATTATAAATATAGTACAGTGGTAAAGCTAATTCCTGCTGCTTTCTTTATATTTATTTAGTTATTTCATTTTGCTCTGCTGCTCTTTAAAATGAAATGTAGTTCAGGAACTAATAGAGTCATTCTTGATCCTCAGAATCTTGAGAAGATTCTGTCTGTTTCCAAACATATTTTGATATATTTCCTTTGCTGTTTTAACACCAAGGCCAATGCTCAATTCAGCTATGTAGAAAAAATAATATCCATATGCTGTTTTTGTTGGTGTGTTGTTTTGTTCTTGTTTGTTTGTTTTTCACTATAATCTCTAAGTTGTCATTATGAAAAGTCACATTGATTCACTCACATTATACTTAACACCTGGAAAATCTTGGAATATCTAGAACCCAGAAAGAGTGAATTAACCAAGACTGAATAGAGCTTTACAAGACAAAGAAAGACAATGAGGTATTATTCTTGACTGTTCCTTCTCTGGTTACACAAAACTTTTACACACAAATGATCTCAAATGTACTGTTTTGTTGCTGTTTGTTTTGTTTTGATTTTCCTTGCTGGCAGTTCTCAGGGTAATCACAATACTTTTACTATTTTACATTTAAAAAAATGCTTTATCACAGAATTTTAATTGGTTTTAGGTATATTTTGGGTAGCTTGTTTAATTATTCTGAATCAAACTTTGTTACTGGTGTTGGAGAGAATTTACTACTGCAGGTAGTTTTGCTGACTTGGGAAAAGGTGGTGTCAATAAATAAGGAAAATGCTTAACTACAATCCTCTACACCTTGTTCTGTAGATAAGCAAGTGTTGTATGTGGTGTTTTGTTTTTTGATTTTGTTTTTTAATCTTCTGTGCTCATACATCATCTGGGATGTTTGATGAAATAGTTTTTCTCTTGTTTTTCTCCAGAGACAAGTTATGAAATACTAAAGCAACTTTTTAGAATAGATTTAGGGGATAGTAGATATTCTTGCTTTCCCAGTCCTGTGGTGACTGTGTAGAGTGCATAACAGAGACCAAGTTCTGGCACACTGTGAATTTCAGAGACTGTATCTGTTAGAGCATCTCTTGTCAGCCAGTTCCCTAGAACTGTACTGATATTAATTCAGAGAAACTAGCTTTATCCTCTTGATTTAGTGGGATGATAGGAAAATGTTTGAAAAGAAGAAAGCAGTAATACAACAAAGGCAAACTCACAGTGAGCCTGTGAAAACAATGAGCTCTTCAAACTTAAATATAATAAACTAAATCCTCTTTTTGTGGAAATGCATACATTCAGTCACACATCTCTCTTTTTTTTTTTTTTCTAGGAGACTCAGAGAGAACAATTTTTTCATAATTTGTGAAGAATATTCATGTTCTATTTTTGTGTATGACTCAAGGGATTTTGTGGCCTTCAGGACATGACAGTACTAGATGCCATGAACTATGCAACCTGATAATAAAAAGAAGACTGAGAAATTAACAGGTTGAATAAAATGTAAGGCACAGTCTCACGAGGTAAATATCTCCTTTCTGTTTCCCTTATCATGCCTTAGATCTGCCTAAATACTTAGGGAAGATGGTATAATCAAAAGGTACTTGAAATCCATGCTATTTATAGTTTTGCGTTTGTGATATTAATTTTATTTATTTTTGTAACTCCTAAACAGTGCCAGAAGGAAATTGTTCATTAGCAAACTGTATTCCTTGAATATACCACTCACTTAAAAAAAAAAAAAAAAGTAATAAAATGATTGTGTGAAACAAACTAGCTCACAACTGTGACCAGATCCTTTCAGACTAGCACTATTAGCTCATTTTCTTTAGCTTTCTTTCACATAAAGAATGAAAAATCTGAATTTAAGATATCTTAAAAGATATATTAAAAAAGTTAAACAAATCTTAACATATGCTGTATTGTGGACACACAAATTTATCCCTTATTGTTCAGCCTAGGGCAAAGGAAGAGAGCAGAGGTTCTGTGAGGGTCAGAAAAGTCCATGATGTGTCCATTTCTAGCTTTCAGTTGTGAAGTGGAGCAAATTTTTGCATCAGTTCTTCCCTCAATAGAACAGGAGGTGTGAGATGCGTTGAAGACTTCAGTGAAGGTGAAAAGAAATGTGTTCAAGTAATCAAACAAAGTTAACAACAGATAGATAAAATAATGCTGGGAAGTAGTTTACAGTCCAAGACCTCCTCTGTTGTGTATGTTTTTTCCTGCTTTAGCATAATCTTTCAGAATTGCTGTGCTGATTACTGCTCATTCTCGTTGTCTCTGGAGATTGGTTTACTTCTGGCATATCTTTGCAGGAAAATTATTTCCTCAGGTGCAATAGATGGATCTCAAATTTGATATTCCATTAGTATGAGATTCCCTGTGGTGAAAGTGGGGAGGATTTATCTTATTTATTTATTTATTTATTTTTATTTTTTTTAATGCTATCAAAATTCCTTTTTATTCTGCAAAATAATATGACCAATGCATGAAAAAAGTCATATAATATTTGCTATGAAGTTGAAATACCTTGTAATTGATATACCAGCTATCAGTTCCTAAAATAAGTTAATAATTTCATCAAGAATTATTGTATTTCTATTACCTTAAAATTGTATTTCTATTACCTTAAATCAAAATAAATATTTTGGTACCTTCCGTTTATTCTGATTATTAATACATATCCTTACAATCTCTATTTATTCAAAACATATGCTACCCAGAATGTTTCCAAGTGCATGAAGACTGGAGGTTCTCAGATTTCTATCTTTTGTTTTATTTACAGTTTAAGCGTAGAATTAGAAATGCTCTAAAGCAGCTGCTTTTATTCTACACTTGTAACAATTTAACAATGGAATTTAAAAATCCTGTCTGACAACCTTTAATCAAATTATAACTGTGTCATGAAATCAAAAATAATATAAAAATATTGCTTTTGTCATTTAATGCTTGAGTGTGCAGCTATATCCGAGAGATTTTTGTAACTGATGAGACAATTCCGTTTCATAGTTGGAAAAGTCAGAAAAGGCAGTGACTTACCAAAATAATTGTGTCAGAGGGTAAATTCCAGTACCAAGCTTGAAAAGGTATGGTGTAATGAATTATTTCATTAAACTATGCTGTAAGAATATTCAACTCTGAAAAACAATGTTGAGTCCCTTCTGTATTTTTGGATGTCTAATGTAAAAATTATGCTTTTCCAATGCAAGAGTACAATTTCCTCATTTACACTGTACAAAACTTTATACTGAGTTAATAGGAACCCAAGATTTTAAACCCTGTGTTTTGTCAAATAATTGCTTTATTTTTACTACACTACTACACTGTATTTTCCTTGGATTTCATGGAGCTAAAAACTTAATAACTGTAACAAACCTTAGCTTGACAGCTATATACTGAATGTTATTGCTACTACTGTTTCTGCTTTATACTATCGGGAATACATTTTATGTGTTCAAAGCTCCTGTAATGTACTTCAGGGAATGAGCTTTGTGTGGTCAAATCTACCATAACGCAATAGCTTTCTAGAGACATGCACTTCAGCTCTCTAGAGGGTCCCTTTAATTTCTGTTAACAGAATATGTTCAAATACATCAAGAAATGCAATGGTATAGCAACATATTTTCAAATCAATGAAAATTTTACAGGTATTATTTCTTAGCTGACTCTTCTGTTTCAGCTGACCAAGGGTGTTTGGCAACTAATGTTAATTTTCAGTACTTTCTGATCACTGCAGAAAGAAACAAATATATGTTGATACCCTATTGATTCACTTCTGTGGGAAATTCTAGGAATTAGACAGAAATATGGTAAAATACGGTAAGTCTTTGAAATCTATAGCCAAAGGAATTATATAATTAAAATTTAACATTCAAGAAATTATTGTGAGCAACAAAAGCAAATATCATGTTAAGTACATGAGGTGGCTAAGAAAAAAATATTTTTACACAGTATACCAAATCTTAATTGAATCCTAATGTTGAGGGGTGGGGAGAGGTAAGATAAAAAGAAGTTAATTGAACAAAATGTTAACTTTTACATGAAATAGTCATTACCCATGGAAACTAGGGATCAATCAAGATATTTCATTGGATAATGTAATGGTAGTGAAGCTACTTAAATCAGCCATTAGCAAACTAGCTTCACAAGTACTAGATATTTTTCTTTGTGCATATCTCAAAAATCTGAGTGGATTTTAACTTTGGATAATAGAGATAAAACTCACATAGTGATCTGACATGACACCAGTGAACAACTGCAGAGTTTTCAGAGCAAGCAGAAAGACATTTTTCTAATCAGAGTTTAACCTCATGAGAACAACTTTCTTATTATTGCAACAATAGTGTTCTTTTAGTTGCATACTTCAGTGAGTCTGGGAGACAAAACAATTAACAGTCAAGCTGGAGGTGAGCAACAAGAAACCCATGAGGAATTTATTCAACAGGATTTTATTTTGTTTTATTGTTTTATTTAGTTTTATTTTATTTTATTTTACTGTTTTGTTTTGTTTTCCATCTATTTCTACTCTGCCAGTTATCTTCCTATATAGATGACAGTAATCAGTGCAGTAACTGGTATTAATTATCCCAAGTACTGCCAAGAAACTCATGGTGCTATTGCAAAGAAAGATAAAGCATGAAAATTAAATGCAAAAGAAAGAAGTCCTCAGAACAAAGCACATTTGTTTTTAATTCCTTGAGCTCCTTTTCTACTTTTCATGTGTACAAGTCACTAATTAGTGTATCTCAGTAATAGGGGACTTATGATCAATAAATCTTTCCACATTGCACAAGGAATTGAGAAACATCCATAATCAGAGAAAAGATTGCCTGTTTTTCCACAAGGTGTTCATATGTTCTATCTGCATGATATAAAGTCCTACTCTTAGCTAACAAAAGTGACATTAACTTTTAAGACTTTTATTTTTTTAATTAAATTTTAATTAATTTTTATTTTTAAATTAAAAAAAATGTAAACAACAACAAAAAAACATAGGCATGACAATTCTATAGGCAAAACTTTCTTCAAAACCTTGTAAAATAAGAATATAGACGATCTACAACAAAAAGGTGGCTCTGCTGCTCCGTAGATAGAATTTGGAGATAGAATTCAATGGAAAACTCGTGTTCTTCAAAAACAAAGTGTTGGTTCTGCACAGTACTTTCTGCCATGTTTATTAATTGTTTAAGGAATAACTGGCAATTTTACAAGTAGTTGATTAAAGATGTAAATAGTAAAAAAGAACTATCTTGAAAACAAGTTGCAACTTCCTAATTAGATACTGACATAAAACCAGGTTCACAATTGCTTAGTTAAGAGCTTTTGGTGTGTAGCAATTGTAATGTAAGGTGAGGTGGAACTTTTCAAGGAGAGTGAATTGATTCAGATGTCATAATTAACGGTGGGGGGGGGGGGGGGGGGGAGAAGGGGGAATATGTATCTTATTATTTCTTTATTGTCACTGCTCTAATAACAGAGCTTTTCCCAATCTGAAGCTGAAGAGTCATCTGATTGTTGCAGCAACATGGGAACAACCTTTCTAAAACAAACCAACAAAATAAAAGAATGTCGGTTACAATGGAAAAACAAATTTGTGAAAATGATCCTTTGGCAGCATTTCTCTCTCAGTCCACCTGCCTTCTAGTTCAGGGCTCCTCACTCCTGCTATAGAAGATGAGTTCTGGCACCAGGGAGCAGCTGCATTGACCTTTGCTCCCAAACACTTCATGCAGTGCTCATGCTTAGGAACTGTGCCAGCATGTTACAGCTGCTTTCTAATGCTGGGAAGCTGAGGTCATTTTCTGCAGAGGACAGGGGAATGGTGAAAACAATAGCCATCTCCATAAAGGGAATCTTCTGCAGTATTGTAAGAGGCATCCATGCCCAAATCTTAGTCAAGATTAAAACCCACACAAACTCACAAAAAAAAAAAAAAAAAGACAAAACAAACAAAACAACAACAAAGCAAACAAAACAAAAATGGGGGGGTGAGGAGGTGGAGAGAGAACACAACAACACCAACAAAAAAAAACACAGAAACAAACAAAACCAAAACCAAACCAACAAAACCAAACCAATCAATCAACCCAAAACCTTACAGCTCATTTAAAAGATGAGGAAAGTGGTAAGCAGTAGACAGCATACAGCACTGGACAGGATTATTTTGTCATGGATGTGCCTGCTTTTCCATTTGATTGCTAGAATAAATCCTTGGCATCCAGTCCCAGGTGCCTGAAATGACAGAAACTAAAGCCCAGATGCCATCGTTTGGTCCTAGTTAAAAATCAAAACAAGGTTGTAAATTGGTTCTTTTTTAGCATCCTCTCTTATTTTTTATAATATTAGTAAAATTGCTATTCTAGAAAATTTCATTTGATGAGTGTCCTGTTTTTTACTCAGATGTGTGATATTTTTCCCTTCCCTTTGTTATTTTCTAGCTGTATTTGTATATTTAAAGAAGTTGCTCCTTGGCCCGTGTTCAGCATATAGATGTTTTAAACAGAGAATGAAGAACAAACAGCAG